GACTTTTAAGTTAATTTCAACCCCTAAGATTGAAGGTATATTTTCTTCTGAAAGTATCTTTCCATTTGAAAGGATGCTTATGTTCTATAAGAAAAATGCCACATCAATTTCATAAGGCTCCTTAAGCATCCTGAAATTTTTTGTCTCCACAAATTTATAGAAAATTTACAGACAGCAAGAAATTTCAGGTGATGGTATTATCACTTTAATTGTGCCCTGGATTTCTGGATAGTTAGGCAGGAATTCCTGATGAAATGTGAATTTTAGTATTGTTGGAAAATAGACCTGAGAAAAAGGCCCTGGGAATGAATGAAATTCCCTTTGTGAATTTCTCTGCTTGTCTATTAAGTTCATAACACAAAGAAGAATCTAAATAAAGGATGTAACTAATACTGAATGACTTTCTTCTTCTGTAGTCATAATATGGACTCTGTTAAATTCATGTGTTACATCTGGTGATACCCCACTTGAACCAGGCTTTCAGTGCAATAATTTGCTGGTTAATTATAGACTCATATTTTTCTGCCTGGGCTGACATTGAACCCGTAATCTTCCAGATTTCAGCATCTTATATTACAGACTTGAGCCAAGTAAGGGTGCCCTGTTCCAATACCTTTGAATATCTGTGGTATCTTAAAGATCTCTTTAAAAACATAATTTGATTTTATTAAAATAAAAGATGTACTATACCTTTTCAGCACCCATTAGTCTGATTTAGACAATAGTTCATCAGTTCCCATGAGTACATCAGGGCTTTTATGCATCACATCTTCCCACAATTCTACATTAAGACATCAACATTGTTTTAAGAATATTATAAATTATAATTTCACAAGTTTTTCTTCAGTTTGATATTTCCTCATATGTTTCTAATTTGCCACTTAGATACATGAGAATTTTAAGGAGTGGTGCCATATGTACTACAAACTAAAGGAGTTAGTGGACTTCTAAGTTGTAAGAAGATAAGTCAACATGAGGGCTGGGAAGGTGGCTCAGTGGTAGAGCGCTTGCCTTGCATGCATGAGGCCCTGGGTTCGATTCCTCAGCACCACATAAGCAAAAAGAAAAAAGC